CACCGCCAAGAAGTGACGGCAACAATGGAATTGAATTGCAGACAGAGATAGAGACGACAATTGAGTCAAGCGCGTGATTCATTCGTTTGTTGTGAATTATAGAGTTTGTTTACGTTATAGCGCGACTGTCGAAATTAAGTGTATTGCAACGTTGTATTGAGAAAAAATAAACTAGTTTTATTTAAGTAAGGACTTGTATCGCTAAAGTTTCTTCGGAAATAATTTTTACGGAAAATTAACAAACGAACAGAGACGTAACAGCCCCTTGGCCCATCGCGATTTTCCCGTTCATTTCGTTAAACACCCACTTGGTTGTATTCAGCTTTGACTATTCATTCAAGCTCTTTCTTGAGCTGTTCCGTTCCTTTGCGTCTACCATGTCTGAAGGAAATATCGGTACATTTCAAAGGATGACACACTTTGACCCCCCCCCCTGTTTGAAAAATAAAGTTTCCTAATTGTCACATGACTTCATTTTGAAAATTTCAATTATATTCTCTCTAAACTTTCTTTTCCCAAGATAAAATCATTTTAAGGACCTTTTCCTGTCCTCATGTAACAGCTCTTCCATCCAAGTATTCATTCAAATAGCTGTTCCTTGAATCTTTTCCAATAACTCAATGTTTTTCTTAAAGTAAGTAACCTAAGAATGAAGACTAACCTGAAACATGTACAAAGAAACGATAACCTTCTTCGACTTATATTCAATATTCCTATAGATATAACCTAGGATTCTGTTTGGCAACAACACATTGGCTGGAAGGTTTAACATATCAATCAACAAAACACCGAGATTCTTTTCTTCCATAAATCTTTAGGAGTGATTTTCGTCAATGTGTTAATTCTAGTTTAAATCAAGGTAGCGCACTTGTATTAGCCTGAACTTATCATAATTAAGTAACACCTGCCATATATTTCCCTATTTTGCTAAATAATCTAAATCCATTAGCAAAACAACAACATTATCATCCCATCCAAGTACTCCCCAAACTTTAATATTATCAGTAAACTTGAAGAATTTGCTGATCATTCCCTTAACAATATCGTTAATGTATATCAAAAAGATTAATGATCCCAATATTTAAAAAGTTTTTATATAGCACTTTGTCGAAAGCCTTCCAAAAACTCGTGTATAGCAAATTTACACATTCACCCTAATCAACATAAGCAATGACACTTTTAAAGAAGGTCAAAATGTTCGTATAACAACATTTTTCCCATGTGAAATCATTCTGGCCGCTCAAAAAAATTATAAACTTTGTTAAGTGGCTTTGTAAAGCATTTTGTGGTATTTCCCGTAGCATGGTTTTCCAGAAGAGCAATTGGTTGGGCCCGCAAACTGGAGGTTCTTAATAAGATACAGAACTACGAAGTTTCACAAAGTATTTCTGTGATATATAACCGAGATCGACTGGAAGAAAGAATCGAGGCTGAAATATACCCAATGTGATACTAAGAAAAGCTTATTCAAAAAATAACACAATTACATGAACAAAACAATGATAAGTGTATTTGTGGTGTGGGTGTCGAACTGATAATAGTGATGAAACTTTTATTGAATTATCTTGCCAGCTCTATGTGTTTCCTTTCTCTAAGCTTCTCTAAAATAAAGTAGAATAAAATAAATCCCTTAGTTAAGCTCAAAAATAGAAACAGATTAATCATCCAAATGTATAAACTACAAGTTAGAGCAAAAGCAAATCCTGACTCTTTCGAAGGATATGGTCTACACTAAGTTAAAATTATGATATTGTAACTAACGTATTATCGTTGAAGTTAAAGAGAAATAAAATATAATATTTCTCTTTCAAATTTAAATGATCTAAACTGTTTCAGATGTTCTTACTATTATTAAACATTAAAAGTCTACATATTTTTCATTTTAATTCCCCAAGTTGGTCGTATTCATCAAATTCAAAGTTCAAGACGACCCATAGTTATTTTAGAATGAGTATAATGTATTGCCTGTGTAACAGTAGTTTACATTGTTCATTGTGCAGAACACAAAATGTTATTGTTTTCGTTGTGAAGCACAAAGCTATGCAGTGTGTTATTTATACTTTGGCCAGCAATGGTATTTGAATCCATAGGGAGACAAAATATCTCTAGGATTGAAACTTAATTTTTACATAAGTCCTCAGGTTTACTTGCTGAGCCATTGGGGGCATAGTAAATTATGAATGAAGTTGCAAGTTTTTATTAGATTCATTCTTGTCATTTCCGAGAACAAGTAGTAGTTTGTTTTTTACATTTTTTATAGCACATACGTTTTTCCATATTTTTCCCGCGAATTTAAGCAGATATTGTTGTGCATGCACAACCGAAAGTGCACTACTTTCAAAGACGAATAAAAGATATTCAAATCAATATTACGTTAAACGGCTTTTACTTTTTCTGATATATTGGTGAGCCAATTTTAACCAAAAAATGCAATTTTCTCCTAACACAAGTAATAAAATCAGCATGTACCAACAGATGGTGCATTCTTAATAAATATTCTTTATATTCACCTTCATTAACAGTTGAGAGATAGAACGCGCTAATGTTTGACCGAAGACATAACAGCACGTGGTACTAAATCAACCAATAACGAATTATCCTGATACCACATCTCTAACTAAAGGCACATTAACAACAGCAAATGTTAAAATAAAATAAAATTCAAGTTGCTCTCAAAAATTAAGTTAAAAGTAAAAGTAATAGTAAACCTAGCTTCTATTACAGAACCAATTAGCATTAACAAGACCAAGTTTGCGCACAAAAGGCACCTCGCATACACGATCCTTGTTCACTGTGAAACCTGTGTTATGGCGTGGCAGCCCCCAGCTATTATCCGATTTGCTGACAGAGAAGACAGCTTTTTCTCTCTGAATGTTACATGCAATCTCTTCTGCCAGAAACTCGGTTAGTTGCCAGTTGTCTCACATCTTGTATACTCTAAAACAAGGGTTATTGAAGCTTATACTTGAATAACTCCTTGCTTCCATACTCGAAACTCTTAAAAACAGAATAATTTTTGGGAAAAAATCTTAACTAAGGTGGTATAAAACATGTAGTACAATCCTGTTTCACAATTTTTAACCAGTCTCTCCTAAAACTATTTTTTGGCCAGGTGGTTAGGGAGCTTGACTCGCAATCTGAGAGTCGCGAGTTCAAATCCCCGTCAAACCAAACATGTTCGCCCTTTCACCCGTGGGGGGCGTTATAATGTTACAGTTACTCCTACAATTCGTTGATAAAATAGTAGCCCGAGAGTTGGCGGTAGGTGGTGATGACTAGCTGTCTTCCCTCTAGTCTTTCACTGCTAAATTAGGGATGGTTAGTGCAGATAGCCCTCGTGTAGCTTTGCGCGAAATTCAAACCAAACCTAAACTTTTATCCAACAAAAGTAAGAATAACTGGTCTACAATAAACTAGACAGTGCTTGTCTTCTTTAAAATATGTGTAACACTGACCAATTTCCAGTCCTCTGTCATTTTCTCACAAATGAAATGCTCACTAAAAATTTTAGTAAGGGGCTTACTTATAAAATTCTTAACCTCTTTAAATATCTTTGGGAAAATAGTGATTTTTATTCTAACCGGAGAATGTTTTGCCACATAGCTAATCCTCAGCAAAATTGATTTCAATTCCTTGGTCTTTTTACACATATTAAGAAATATTTCTTACTTCGTATACTATTGATTCGCATCAGGTTTTCTTTGTTCTGTTTTCACTCATCGCGTTTTCCAAAACAGCTTTATTTCTTAAAAGCGTCTCCGTGAAATAAGTAACGCTGTTCGTTCAATTTGCAGTGATCCAATAATATCCATATGCAATTTATGTGAAGTCGAATTAGGGTGAGGTTAGTAAAGAGTTCTTAACTTTCTAAAAAGCAATACCAGCGTGACAGTGACTCCTAAGAGGAAAGCCTGCATTGAAGTAGTGAAATCCAGGTCTCAGGATCATGTTTTGGGGTAATATTTTTGAAATGATACATTCAAGTTTTGAACATAAATTTAAGATCAAACCAAATACCGGTACCATGGTACTGGTAGTGCTAATGCTTGTACTACTACTATTTGTACTGTAGCCTATAATTTCAGACAAGATATTTAAGTTAATAGAATGTAAATTTAGGCTGGCTACCTCAAGTACTAGTACTACTGCGATATCACTATTACTACCTCTTAGTCTGAGTTACAAAGTACTACCAGTACACACTACTAGTAGTACCAGTTTAGTAATACTTATAATCAAACAGTAACAGTCTAATTAATACTGGTCTTGGTCTCCCCATAGACAGTATTATTGTAACTAAAGTTAGTTCAAACAGATGGGCATCATCTCATTTTCTAGTTCTATTGTATCTACTTCTAGACTTTAGAACGTTTAGCAATTAGTCACAATTCAGTGTGAGTTGTAACTTGCAACCCAGTATAAAGCATGGTTTCACTTTAGTGTCAGTAATATAAAAACATCAGTTCAACTTCAAACATATACTTTATCACTGTTCTTAAACTCTTTTTTTTTTTAAATGGTTTAAATATTAAATAAATATGATTAAAAATATTTTAGGCATAGCACAGAACCTTAAAAAAAATAATAAGCAAATATAATTATATTAAGACATGGTACAGTGGAAAACCACTACTCAACTACAATGACATTTGGTAATTTTGGAAAAATAAAGTAAAATAGTATCAAATATTATATACATAACTATGTCCTAGTTGAATTTTTACTGGCTTTAAGAAATGTTATAAATATTAACATTCTTTCAAGTGGGATATTGGAATCCTCAACCTCAATGGTCATGTCTGTAGCTTTTGACTGTGAATGTTAGTGTGGTATATTAATTGAGACATTTATAATTGCATTACTTACATTACAAGTGCTGGAAGCAGTACTGAAGTCCATCGCTTTACAGTTTACTGTAGTTTAAAGGAAGAATTGATAATTTACTTAAAAATAAAGGGCCTGTTTAACTTTTTACTCTTTCTCAGAGGTGGGTGTTCAGGGACAGCATTGAAAGAGTAAATGGTCCTCTTGTTGTCCATGTGTTATAATTAAAGTGTTTTTAAGAAAATGAATTTTTTTTAGCTTAGGACATAAAATTTTATATTACAGCTTTTATTTGATGCTTACATTAGGTGCAAAATGACAGACAATAATAATATTTGTGTTAAAGAGATTTTAAGAGGAACTTCATTTAATGCAAGACATTTTATTGGGATTCTCATAACATAAATGTTAAGTATAATGTTGATGAGAATAATCTTAACAGTGGTATGGAGAAAAGATTTGTGGTGTTCTGGTTGATCAGTTTTAAGCCATCCAAGCAGTGTGCTGTTGCTAGTGGTAGGGCAAATAGCATTTAAGGTTATATCTACAGAAATATTGAACACGGTCTTCAAGAAGTTATATTTTCATTATATAGGTCACTGGCTAGGCCACAAAAGAGTTAGAAGGGATCCAATTATGGTTTTTAAGAATGTTAAGGAAATTGATAATGGTGGTGCCTCATATTTTTTTTCATATTTAATTGTGAGAATGATAGGACAAGGGAACACAAATAAATTTTGGAAGGATAGGAGTCATCTTCAGTGAATGTGGTTTTATTTTTGTAATAGAGTGGTTGGTCCTGAAATGGGTTACCTTCAGGTCTGGTGGACGCTGTGAATTAAACAGAGTTTAAGGGAAGGCTTGATAAATATTTGAATGGTAATGGCTGGCTTTGATTTTTTTTTTTAATTTAGCGATTTGAAAGACCTAGATGGACCAGCAAATTCCTTGTCCTTAAATTTTATGTTAAAATGAATAAAACGACTTAGATATTTTTTATTTCTGTTTTTACTGGTTGACATTAAATGTCAAATTGTTTAGAGCTGGACAATTAGATTTGTTTAATCAATTACCAATGAGCACTGATTACATCAACTTGTGTCATGTAAAATAATAAATTAATTAGAAATACTGTTAAATTGATTAATATTATGAAAATAAAGAAAATTAGTGGTTCTGATTATTCAAACTATACAAGTAATTAAAATATTGGCATTATGATTTCTTATTATTATTTTCCATTAATTCAAGGTTGTTCAGCTTAATCAGTTAGTGTCATGACTAAAATAAAAATCAACTAATTGAAATTAGTGTTTCTGATTATTACTTTTTTTAATATTTCAAGTATACAAGTCTCATGAGGATAATTTATTAGTTGATTGTAATCAATTAATGAGCCTGATGATATAGAAAAGGGTCTTTTTGACAAACCAACTAAGATTGGCTACTGTTGGAAGGAAATGATTTGAGTTTTCAAACTTGTTGATCAATTTTGGTCAAATTTTTATTGAAAACATCTAATTATATTTTAATTCCCTGAAGTGAAACAGTTAACTATAAATTCTTCAGTATAGACATTTTTGTGCTTAAAATAATCTTTTGGATGAAGTGCAGAAATGGCATAAACTACTATTATTGTGTGTGATTTAGATAAAATTAATTGTTTGTAACAGAGACACAATCAAAATGATATTATATAAATCTTTCTGATCAAATTTTAGCTATAATATTTTTTTATGATTTTGGAACACTTTAAATAATATGCAAATATATTATTTTTTAAATTATGACATTAACATAACTGTAAATATAAGTTATTCATCTTCTTTTTTCTTTAATTTCTAGGAGTTACAATTGAAAGTGGCAAACGCTACTCTCAAGTAGTTGAAAACTCTTTTCACCTGTCGATGGCAGCCTTGGAGCCCAAGCCGAAAGGTTGGTGGTATTACCCCAACATTTGTACATGTGTGTTTGTAAGCTATTAAGTGTTTTTTTAAAAAAAACTGGTTAATAGTGTGTAACTTGCATGTGATTGTCACAGAAAACTTGAGAGATTGAATTGGCCATGTCTGAAATTTGGTAATTGATTAGTTAGTAGGTACATAGATATAGTTCTCTTTCCTGTTAGGCCTTCAGTTAAAGATTTATTGCTTTGACATTTTTGATTCAATTAGATTTTACATGAATAACCCCTTGAATATTAGTCAAAATGCTTATACTGTTTTTATCTCCTACATACCACTTTGCTCCCATTCATTATTAGTGTGATGGTTATAGAGATTGTAGATCCAAAAAACCTTTTTCTGTTTTCCCATTGGTTTGTAATAGAACAAAAAAGTGTGTGCGTGGGGGAGATCTACCTGCCAATACTAAGAACAATTTGATAAGATGATGCATTATAGCCTCTTTACTCTAAATAAGTAGCTTGATCTGATCAAATATTAATATGAAGTCCATTAGGCTACATCTTTTTTTGTGGTCCTGTGTTTTTCACATGTCATGGATACTGTTATTAATATGGTTATGTTTAGTGTTTTAAGTATTACAGTAATTCTTGTTACAGTCTTTGTCTGTTACCTGAAGAAATATAGAAATTAAAGTTTAAAGAGTGTCATCGTTGATTGCAGTTTTTTTTACATAGGTTCAGTTTTTGTACTAAAAAATGAGGTAGATGTTCTATTGAATATTCCTCATAAAATATTAGGTGGGTGAATATGTTTTATTTCAAACTTTTCTTATGAAAAATTCATGTAATATTTAACTTGGTCTTCTAATTTGTTTTAAATTGAATTTAGTAGATTATTTTTTTAGACAATAAACAACAGTGAAATGTGAAAAGATTCTAATAATTATTATTGGTGTATAATAAGTAATTGTAAGGTCAAGATCGTATTTATGTGTATATGCATGTAGCAAGGAGCATTTTGTTCTATTGAGCAATTGGCTGCTCAAAATTTGGCTTTGAAAAGCATTTTGTTCTTAATTTGTTCTTTCAGAAGTAACTAAAAACAACAAGAATATTTCTCTGATGATTGAACATGGCAAAGCAGAGTTTCTTCTGTGTACACTGGAATATGATCGAGTTATGCAAGTTCCTCTCGATCTTGGCTTTGTTGAAGGAGAAGAAGTGGCATTTTTCTTAAATGGAGAAGGTATGTTTGTTTATTTGTGAGAGAAATAATATTTTGAAAAATGAAGAGAAATTTAGACAAATAAAGAAGACACTTGTATGGTTTTTAAACCTGTTAAATCTGAAAAATTTTACTGTTATTACAAAAAAACTTTGACTGATTCAAATGTTTCTTAACACTAAAAAGTTTTATATTGTTTTAGGAATATATTGGGAGAAAAACATTTTTGTACAATAAGTTATTTTTATTTGGAATGAGTACATGATTAACCCATTAACTGCTGCAGGAGCAGCTTGGTTGCCATTTTCTGACTCGCAGATAAAACTGAGTTGCCATCAGTCACAATAAAATGGTAAATATCGTCATTCTCTTAGAGTTAGAGTTATATATGTGCGACTGACGGATATTTCCGTCATTCGCAGCTGAGCCATAGAACTTCAATGACGGAGATATCCGTCATCCGCAGTTAATGGGTTAAGTTAGTTTCTCATTTATGTTTTATTAGTAGACAAAAATTACATCTTATTATTTATTAGTTATTTTTATAGGAAATACTTAATGTAACTTCATTAACTGTATAAGAAAATGGATAATGGTACAAGGGTTTTCAAATCTGAGAAAGGTTTTACTGGATAAAACTTGTTTAGGCCAATTCTAATACTTTTAACTACCGAATAGTTATAACTATCTATTTATCTGACTCAATTGTTGGACTTTTTCATGACTGCTCAGACTGTTGTTTTCTGTATGTGAAATTTTGGTTAATTATATGATAATATATATACATGTATGTATGTGAATGTTTATATATATAGATATATATATATATATATATAATAATAATAATAATAATGTGCAAATTTGACTTTTTGTGCCTATGAAATATAACCATTGTAGTTCAAAATATTGAAAAACTAATCAAACTAGGCAAATTGATTTGCATGCTTTATTCGTGTCTTTAATATGCTACACATTTAATTAATTTAAAAGTTTTGAAGAATAGCAACAAACATCCCTAAATGATAAAATGCAGTAGATTTTTTAAAAGTTGTGAAAACATTGTCACACAATTGCTTTTAGTGTCTGTACTAGTCATTACTGAGAAAGATTTTAGATTTTTTCATATTTTGAGTTTTTCCTTGTATTTATATAAGGGGTACTTATATTTCTTCAAAATAACATTGACCAATCCAGTTAATTTTATGTGCATTTTCTCTACCCTAAGACTAACTGTAGTGAAATCATATGTATAGTAAAAGTTGAAAAACATGAAATAAAATCAAAAATAGTTCTGTTGTTTTTTCTAGATTGACATAAGATTATAATAGACAATTAGAATTAAGTTTTAGGCCTCTTAACTTTTATTACTACTTTCATTTCATTTTATTGTTTAAATTCTCTTTGATCTCCACGGTTAACTACAAGTTATAAATCACTCAATCGGAGTGTGTTTATTGAGGAGTAATAACCAAAAATTTTATTTAATGTTTTTTCTTTTAATTCTTCCTGTATTACCTAATAAGTTATTAATTTTTGCATTTTACATCCTTTTGTTAAAAAATATATGACATTAAATAAATTGGGCACATTAAAAACAAGAAATTTGGCACTTACATTAACCATAGGCTGGTTTGCACTTTCTAATTATGTTTGTTGTTTAAAAATGTAATTCATGTAGTATTCAAATATGGATTTTAGAACAGAAAAAAAAATATAAAGCATTAAGACAGAATGGCCCAAAACTACCATACTTTATCTGGCCTTCTAACTAAGCTATAAATAGGTTTAAAAAATCTTTGGAGCACTGACTTTAGTCCATGTGTGTCAAGATCTACTCATGAAATAGTGGGTTTCACTAAGAAAACAAAACAGACTGTAGGCATAATCACATAGTTCACAAAATGACTTTTCCATTAGTTATAAACATGTGCTATTGACAAGTAGGCATAGTTTCATAAACAGGAAGAGTTAGGAGGAACTTTAGTAAACTGTTGTGAATATGATATATCAGAAAATAAAGAAGATGGTAGGTTATTATTTTATATTCTGGGCTGTCAGTATCTATAGTTTGTCTACCTAATTGGTGAACTCTTGAAGCCCATACAAAGGATGTGAGATATCCAAAATGAGAATTTAGAATGCAGACAGTCACATGAAACAGGGAAGTGAATGATGAGAATTTATTTAAATATTTTCTTTTGAAATTAATAAATTTAATTTTAGTTGATATGAACATTTTAGTATAAACAACGTTTTAATACCAAGCTTATTGACATACATTGGTAATAAAGTAGCTTAATTAAAATTTTAATATAAGTTAAAAAGTTTTTGAAATGCATAGTTTAACCAACATTTCACCCACATCTAGAGTGTTAATATAGTGTGTTGTCATTAAAATGCCAAAACGGAGAGAATTAACAACCTTTGGTAAAGTCAGATTCAAATCTCTATGTGATGCATGATAGAATTTTAAAAATTGCAAAAAACCTTGGCTGTTTACAAGTACTACTGTAAAGTACACATTAGACAGATACATGGCAACTGACTTCTGTAACATTAGACAGAACAGAGAATGAAGAAAAAAGGTCTCTTAAAAAAGATGTTGGATGTTCAAAAATCACTTTCCTGAAAAACCAAAAGAAAACTGTAAAAAACCTTGCTGATGATATTAACAAGTCATGCACAGATATTTTTTTAAAGTACAGTTTTAATAACACTGTAGAAATCTAACCTTTGGCTAAGAGTAGCAGCAAGAAAGTTTTATTACATAAAAAGAATATAGCATTGAGACTAACCTTTGATAAAGAACCTGCATCCTAGTCTTTGGAAAAGTGGCACGAAGTGTTCTGGACAGACAAGTCTACATCTTAACTGTTTGGTTCTAACCGGCTGTGTGCATATATGTTCTCTGTAAAGTGGATGAGAGGTTGTAGGAGTGCCTTGCACCAACAGTCATGTATGCAAGAGGATCTGTGATAAAATATTTACAATTGATGTGGGCTTTCTTCACTAAATTTATAGAATCATGAATCAGCATAAATACCACAGTATATTAGTTCAATACCCTCTGGAAAGAAGTAGTTGTGGAAAATTTCATATTTCAATAAGATAAAGGCTCAAAACACACTTCCAAGAAATGTTGAGCTTACTTAGCAAAGAAAGAAAGCTCTCAATATCTCCAGCAAATGGAATGACCACCACAAGATTCAGACTATAACCCCATTGAATAAATATAAGAATTGCTGGGCTCCACATTTGAACAAAAGTACCAACTGTACCAAAGAAAGCCTCTGAACACAGCTTCAAGAAAAGTGAAATAAAATTACACCAGACTATGAGAAAATGTATAGACACAATATTACAAAGATGCCAAGCTGTTATGGATGTCAGGTGGCTACAATAAGTATTACCATTTAAAAAACTTAGACATTATTTGTGTGTAAATGTCAGAAAAGTACAATTATTGAGGTTCTAATCAATTTGAATACACACATCTCCATAATACAGTGCTGTTTTTATTATTATTAAATAAACCTTGATGAATTTGATCATGTCAGGATACTTGCATATTATATATTTAGTATTTAATCTGCATATTTGAATAACAGGTAAACTGTTTCATAATTTAAGTCTGCATTTGAAACTTTAAAAGGCTACTTTTTATACATTTGGCTGATTTAGTTGTAACCGTTTTCATTAGAACATCTTGAACAACTAAATTTAATACTACTAATTTTTTTTCTAGGTATTGTCCATTTAACTGGATATGTGCTTAATGATGAAGATAAAGACTTAACAGAACCAATTTTATCAGAACCATCAGAATCTGAGGAGAGTGAAGAAGACTCAGAAGAAGATATGACAGAGAAACCAAAACGTATGTTAAGCCTCATGCATTGGTAATTTAATCTGTGTGTGTGTGTGTCCTTATTAAAATATAAAATACCTAAAAAAAGGTTTCTTATTGTAATTTTGATGTCTTAAAATATTAACAGTTGAATTGTATCGGTGTTCATTGATCATATATATATGTAGTGAAATTAACATTGTTTGAAATAGGGATTATTCTTTTATTTAATGTGGTAAAGACTAATCAAGGTTATTTGATTGGAATAGATTTACTCTCTCTCTTTCTCTCTCTCTCTCTCTCTC